GTGGGATGGGGAGGAAATTCAGAAAAGGGTGAAACAAAGTACATATTAATAATAACAATCATGAACAGAGAGATAATAGAGACACAAACTCAATAAAKATAAGAGATGCACATTACAGTTTTTTACCACCCGCTGACCAATGTCCAGCCCATCCCTCAGGGGCAATCAGTCCCTCCCCTCCAAYTCCCCCAGTTTATCCACTGAGCAGGACGTTCCATGTGGGCCCCTTCAGGTCACCTGTCCTGGCTGTGCTCCCTCCCAGATCCCTGTGCACCTGCTCCACTGGCAGAGCACAGAAACAGAAAAGTCCTTGACTTCGAGCAAGCACTACTTGCAACAACTGAAACATCAGTGTGCTATCAATATTATTATTCCCGTATTAAATCCAAAGTACAATGCTTTAACAGCTACAAAGAAGAAAACTATATCCATTSCAGCTGAAACCAGGACACAAGCACTTACAAACCAACTTCACCTCATTTTTCTGGGCCAAAGTCGTGGCCACAGGACAAGACAAGAGTCTGTATCTTTCCCGGTACTCAGACCTTGAAGCCCAACACTTGCAATTTCCTCACAATTAGGGCATAGACTTTGGACCTGCTGCCACAGCCTTCTTGCAGTTGCCAAGTTTGAGCACCCTTTGTTCCCACTGCAGGGAACTCAGACAGCTGGCCAAAGGCTGGGCAGACTGRGGATGTGCCTCCCTGGGTGCAGAACTCAGCTGGTGGATAAAAACACTCCCCAGCTTCCCTCTGAGCTGTCCACACACACCTAGAAAAGACTTCTGAGAAATCAAAAAGCACAAATGCATTCTTGAGCCGAGGAGAAAGGGCTTGTTTTATTCCTGTAAATAATAAACCTCATCCTGTGCACAGGGCAGCTGATAGTCATCCTCATACAGAATATATCCCATAAGAAACCATCAGACCCATGAGTCTTCCAGTGGGATAAAGCGCCTGGCTGAGACATGACAATGTTTTCTCCTGCCACCAAGAGCTGGGAAAGCCTTACTGAGCCAAGAGTAAGGGCTGACCGTGGGTACCCATTGCCCCAGTTCCTCTGTGGAGGAACTGTGATCCCCAGGACCCTCTGTGGGGGAACTGTGATCCCCAGGTCCCTCTGTCTTCATAGTGAAATAAAACACCAGGTATAAAATCACTGCCACAACACAAAGAGAGATCAAAGAGCTGCCTATGCAGCAGCAGCGTTTCCAGGAGAAGTTTCTATTGCGGGATGAGGGGTGGTGGGTCGAGGCTGGACGGGGCCTTGAGCCCTGGTATTTCAGGGTCTGGGAGGTCCTGGGCACATTTGCATCCTGGGCAACCCGTACCAGGGCTGGGTGCAAATGAGTGTGATGGGCCCTGGCCTTCCTCACACCGCTCAAGGCATTCCAGGCATCAGAGGAGTTGGTGCTGTGCATCCTGGCCTTGTCCTCATCTGTTAAGGCCTTGCAGGCATCCTGTGCTGGGGCTGACCGTGACCTGTGGCAAATGCCGAGCCGGCAGGCCTCACAGTGGGCACTGTCGTGTGGCCCCGCCACCGGYGTGTCCACCACCACTTCCAGGAGGTCAGAGGGCTGGACAGGCTGATTGTAGAAATACTGGCGGATCTTTATCACCACGTTGTGCAGAATTGTCTCCACAGTCTCCAGGCTGAACTCAGGATCTTCCAGCCGGGGCTTGGGGCACTGCCTGCATTCCTGGCGAAAGATTCGCATCCGTACCGTGCCCCAGCCTTGGCACTGGTTCATGTGGAACAGGATGTGCACTTTGGCAGAAGACCACTTATGAAAGCACTGGGAGCACTGAAACCTTTCAAGGCAAAAAGGACACCATCTCATCCCAGGCTCCCCACACTGAGCCAGAGGCTTTTGGCACAGTCAGTAGGGACAAGGGTTAACACAGACTATGGAATAACTTCACTCATGCAAGCTTTACACCAAGCTGCCCTCCCCATAACAGCGTGATGCCATTCTGGGAAGTTCATCACAGTTGCAAGCTGAGGGCTGGCCCCAGTATTAAAGATTTCAGAACCCAGGCTGTCTGCTGGCACCCTGGCCTCACTGCCAAAAGCAGGGGCCTTTCGAATGGGAAGCATCAGGCTCCTATTTGGGACTCCAGCCTTTCACCCGTGCTGGTTCATCACAGCTCAGCAGAAAGCCAGCATCAAACACAGGACTGGGTGAGACAATGAAAAGAAGCAAAATAGAAGGAAGGTGTGGGTGGAGAGTGAAGGGCAGGTGAAGAGATATCTTGAAGAGCCAAAAGATGTGCAGCCCGCAGCTCTTCATCTTGCACAATCTGCATGGGGGCTGGCAACCAAGGTTTCCGTTTGCTGCCACTCAGGCAGGGTGTCTGACCAATGCCCAGGAAATGTTTGGGATGGGGCTTCTCATTGGCAATGCAGAGCCACAGCCTCTCTGTCTGAGACCCTGCAGCCTGGTGCATGTGCAGGGGCTGCTGAGACAGGTCCCCATGTCCGAGCACACGGTGGCTCTCCCTCTCCTCATCCTCTGGGTGCAATCCCAGAAGATTTTGCTCTAGTGTGGGGTAACTCCCCCTGCTTGCTGAAGGAGTTCTTTGCATCTTGACAACAACATGGAGAAATTCTGGCCAAATACCATCTGCCCACTGGCCCTATGAAGTTGGTAAACTCTTCTCCCCTCTAATTATCATGTTTTCCAGTTTGRCAATAACCCATTAAGCTTCAAACAAAAATGGGAAAACCCTTCACAGCCTCACCCACCTCCAAACTTCCCATTTTGCTTTAAAAAAAAAAACCCCGTTTTCTGCAAGCAAACTTTGAAAAAGGAGAAGGTCGACATGGCAATCCATCAACCCTGATCCTGCTCCAGGAGGACTGAGTCAGCAGTCCCCTACCTCCCAAGAGCACGGCGCGGCACAAACTCCTTCCAGCCAGGCCTGCAGGCCTGCACCTGCAGGGCATCATCCTCCACAAGTGTCCACGAATCTATTACRTGCATTTCTTCAAGCTTCCCTGCAAAAACTTCCTGCCAGGTGATCATAGTTCCACTCGGAGCTGGAGAAGAGGTAGCGACCAAGCCTGCAGGTCAAGCTTGCCGCTTCTGAATGCTAATACMCGTGTGCAACTGCCTTTTCCTTCAACCTGTCCTCTTTGTACGATGTTTTTGTGCTTGGAGAGGGAAACCTTTGCTCCTGCATGAGAAGCACCACCCCCTCACAATCTCTGGGTCAACAGTCTCTGCTGATGCTGCACCAGGTCCTGGCCAGGTGAAATGTCCCCTGAAGCAAGGACAAGGTGGGTTTCCTCAATATATATCCATGAACCCCTGACCTTGGAAAGCCACAATGCTACTCAAAGGCAGAAAGCCCCCTGCCAAGCTGCTCGTGCCCATCACATTCATGGCAGTGGGGCGAACCTACAGAGATTTGCCCAGCTTAGGAATAATGAAAGCGAAACCCATCAAAAACRCAGGACTCAGCAGCTGATAAAACTCCAGATAACCTTATCTGTCTCAATAGCTGCCGCCAACCRTGGGCTATTTTTACCAACTTCAGCCAATTTGAGAAGAAAAAAGCCTGACATGAAACTACAGGGTGGAAAGTTGGGGAGGACAGCATGGTACGTAAAATCAAAAGAGATGAAGTGTGCTCCGAGTTGAAAGCACCCAGGCAAGGTATAAACAGCAGGGCTGGGGCTGCCTGCAGCCCTCCACCTCTCAGCTCACCCGTCTTGGGGGGCACAGGTCCCCCAGGAAATCCCATGGAGGGCAATGCAGCACAGGGAGCAGGTTAGGTAAGATGTCAAATTATAACGGGTCTTGAGTTAGAGAAAGAATTTGAATAGGCAGCTCCAGGCAGGCAATGTAGGCAAATCTCAGGAACYACAGCCTGGCAGGGAGGCTCTGATCATTGCTGCTGGAAAGGAAAAGCTGGCAAGTCTTTTGCACCAMGGGCCTTATAACACCCTCACAATGTGCACTGCCCTCCTGCAGGARCAAAGGGAGSTGATGAGATCCAGGAGCAGAGTACWCCTTCAGCTTCCACGTTCTTTCCTTCTTTGAGGTTCCTTCCACTCTTAATTACACCTTGATGCTATCAGCTGAGCAGGACTGAAAGAAGGAGAGTGCTTGGAAGCAGAGGAGCCAAGGCAAGGTCTTCAGGAGTCTTACAGAGAGGTAGAAAGCCCTAACCTATGGATAGGACCTGAGTCACCCCCTTCCCAAAACTGCTATCATGGGTACATGGGTGATGGGGTCCTGCTTGGGTTGGGGCAGTGAACTACAATCAGGATGGTGAAGGAGGGGTCATCCCACCATTGTTATCAATGTTCACAGATAGGGGCTGGGGGACATCCCTGGCTCAGGGTTGGTGCATGAGGAGGAAGGGGAAGCAGCAGATCTTCCTGGCCTCCTGTCACTCCTTTCCCTGGGACCCCCATTTCTATAGGTTCATTATAGAAGACCCCTTCATGCACCCYGCCACAGAGGGGTCTCCAGGGCTGCAAATCTCCTGGCGCAGAAAGGGGGAGCTAAGGAGGGACAGGGATGGCCTCACAGCTGGCACCATGGCCCAGCATGGCATGGGGTCCCAGCCAGCAGCGGGGTGTTTGGGACAGGGCCCCCACACTGCAGCATCCGCCTGTCCCCTTGCCCCCTTCTGTGTTACTGTCCAAGATTTAGCCTGGGGGAGTCGAATGCAGGAAAGACCTAAAGATTTTGACACCTTCCCTTTGCATCTAGGGCATGCCTGTGTTAAACACCTCAAACTGTTTTGAGGAGGAGGAGCCCCCCAGGGACACAGTCCTGTCTCCTGATACTCTCATACTCACCCAAACAAACTGCTTCAACTGGGGGATCTGTGGGTTCAGCCCAGCTCCTCCTCCTCGAGCCTGCTGACACAGGGCAGAGAGATTCTCCTCATGGGACAGGCACAACTCCCTACACTTCCACCTCAGTGCCCAAAATGCTGCCCCTCTGGCACACTGCTCAGCAAGGATACCTGGCCCAGGGACCGGTCCCTGCTTTCAAAACCTGGCTGTGATGGAAACCARTCCCCTATTACGTCATGGCAACACAACTCAAATCGCAACCCACAATGTGCTGAGCCCTCACAGTCATCTCTGACACAGCCGACTGCTGGTCCCTTTATTAAAGCTTTTGACTTGCTTTTACTAAGGGGACTTTCCTAGAACAACCCACCGAGCTGAAACTGCTTTGACATCCTGTTCCATTTCACACACACATCCCAGCTCTGCCCAAACACCTTGCTGCTTATCAGTACTTGCCTGGAAATAAAAGCTGTTCCCACAGGATTTCCCCACAGCCTGGTCTCAGCAGGGAGTGGGGACAAGCCCTGTCCTGGACATGGCATGACCACCCAAGGCTGGCAGGCCTTGCCAGGGTTAGACTCTGCCAATCCTCKTTATTCCAGCATGCTGGTCAGGGCTTCTCCGTGGGATGAGTGAAGGAAACWCACGAGGTGCAGCCTAGGTGGTAATTTCCCTGCTGCTTTTGCAAAGCCTGAAATTATTTTTGACTTGAGCTCCCACCCCTGAGTGAGCCGCCTCTGCGAGCGCAGGAAGGTTTCCCAAAGTTCTTTCTCCTCCTCTTCATCTCTCACTGTGTGTCAGACTCTGCGTTCCACACTTTTCCGGCCCAAAATGTCCCTCTTTTGCCCATGAGGACCCTCCTTGGCCCATGTGCACCCCATTCCCACTGGGACATCCATCCCCGCCTTTGGGATGGGTCACCCCATACCCAGGTGGCTCCATCCTGACAGCAGTCCCTGGAAGGGGCAGAAAAGGACATTCAACCCCAGTTCCCAGGCAGGACGRCAGAGAGGAACATCCCCTCAGCAGTGAGGATGCTGTGTCCATGGGCTCAGCAAGGTTTGCATAACAAATGGACTGACCTCTAAGCAACAGGGCAGAACCCTAAACACTTCTCACCGCTTGCTTCATACTGATGTTTTTTCCCACTCTGAAGACTTCCCTCATTTTTTCCTGTGCTGAACACACCCAATTCTTTTCCATCAGTCATTCTTTCAGGAAATTTTTGCTCTTTTCTCCATCAGGGTGAATTTCTAACCMTCCACCCAAACAGCCCCTACACCCTCCCTCAAACAGCATCTTGCTTTCAGGTGAGCCAGGCTTCCCCAGAAAACCTCTGCTGGATGTGTCTGCTGTCACAAGTTATTGATAACTGCTCATGGGACAGAGCTTTTTGAGAATCCATCCACCATCAGTGGCAGAATTTCCCATTTCCCTCATTTTCTTATGAGAATGTCATGTAAGGCAGSATAAAGATAGCATCACTCCTGCTTTCCCTGTGGTACCCAGTCTGTCACCCTAATGGAGGGAAAATGAAGTTGGTGCAACACGTGTTCTTGCTAAAACTGTGTTCTCAGCCCCAGCACTGCCCTGTCAGTGTTTGCCACTTGGTGGTAATTTGTTCCAGGAGTTTTCTGGGTACTGAGGCATGCTTACTCATCTAGAATTTCCCRGATCCTCTTTTTTCCATTTCCATGAAGGAGATTGTGAATTGGGCATCCATATCCTCCTGTGACAYGACAGCTCTCAGTCCCCCTCCAACCTTGATGCAATTGACTGTGAATGGTTGCCCCCCCATTGTGGTGAACCCACCAGCTTGAGGGACAAGCAGTGGCCACAGGTTCCCTTCCATGCTGGACTGTCCACACAACTGAACCCCTACAGCAGAAGGGTCCATCTGTCCAATGCAGATTTGAGGAAAGAAAGATCAGTTCTTCTGGAAATGGGGCTATGCCCAAGCTGGATTGTAGTGAGGGCACATTGCCCCATCATCCTGGACTTCTGGRATGGAGAGTAATGCTGAGCAATGGGGAGACATTTGAGGAAGCAAATGGATGCGAAGACATGGACAAGTATCACCCCACATGGGTTTAGGTTCCCTCCAGGTGTAAGGAGAGAGCTCGASCCCCTCCAACAAGGCTCTGCCCCAGTGCCACAGGCAGTGGGTTTGGTCTTGGGGCCATGGAGCAGGCAGGCACAGGGCTCCTGCCTGGCCCTCCAAGTACCCRTGCACAGGACCTGGCCTGCCAGCACCCCCGTCAAGCTTCACATCCCACCAGAGGGAAGGAGAGAGAGGAGTAGGAAGTGCTGGAAACAACTCAAAGCAAAACTAGAGAAAGCAAAATGAGGGTGGTAGGAGGGAGCACAAATACATACTCTGCAAGGCTACAGCAGCTCAGTGTCAGGTAGGGTAAAATTCTCAGTGGGACAGGATGGAGGAGATTTTGTGGAYCYGGACCCCTCAGGACACASYAGAGYTGYGTAGGCTGRCCATGGTTAGGGGTCCAAGCAGACTGCACAGCAGCCCAACAACCCACCACCACCACCAGCACCCATCAAATCACTCCAACCTTTCTCTTCCAGGACCAGCAGTCGCTTTCCCAGAGGGCCAAGGCCATGGCAATGCTCCCACACCACAGTTCCTGACAGACCAGTCCCACCACATTAACCCAGGGGCTCAATAACACACACCTGATGCATCACCTCCAGCCCAGCCTCTCCCAATCAAAACCTCTGAGATCTCCCAGTGACCAGGACAGTGCTCACCTGATCTTACTGTGCCATGGCCTGACCAYCCTTTCTCCCCCCGGCATCTGCAATGTCCTGGCTTTCAGGAATGGTGCCTTGCTGCTCCACAACATGGCTTTCCTCAAAAACGCTGCTGCGAAGTGCAGGAGAGGATTTCCTCTCCATCTTCATCTGCCTGCCCAGTTTTCCCAAGGTATGGTTTATGCATTCAGGTTTCTTGAAGAGATGCTTGCCCACATGTTGCTCCCAACCACTTTTAATCAGGGCTGGGGTGTATAAGGAGCCAGGCTGACTCTCAAGCATCATGTAGGGGGTTTTTGCTTGCTTAGGTATGGCCCAGGCATGTTACCACATATCCAGCTTTCTGCAGAAGCTGACAGGGATCAGTCCCAGCTGACAAAGCATTTTGTCACTGACAATGGTGGCAGCTACCCCTTGGGGAGCGCTGGGTGCCCGCTGTCGGAAGTGGTTGCTTTAACTGCCAGACCAGARTGTACAGGAAATGCAGCATTTCCAKCACCCACAGCCTCCCCCTTGGCTGGTCCTGGGTCCCAGCACAGAAGAAGCTGTGGCACATTGATGGAGGACCTGAGGGGATGTGTGTCTGCAGTGGGGGTGGTATTTGATACAGCAGCTGCACAAATCTGGGGGTGTGCACACAAATTTGTATGGTGAGTTACTTGCACATGTGTGTGTTCATGAGCACTTTTGTGTGTTTGCACATGTGTGCATAAATAGCTCCTGCACACAAACATGCTCGACACCCTATTCCCAAGCAGGATTCTGGCATGTAGGGCCTGACACCCATCTCGGGGCACTTCTTGGTTGGAGAGGCTTGGTTGTGGGCTTGAAAGCTGCATCCTGCCCAGARCTTATTCCAGCCCTGCTCCTACTCTGGCCAGCACAACCAGTGCCATACCAGGTACAGTGCTGGGCATTCAGCKCTCCAGACAGGGATGGGAGACGATGTCTGGCAGCCTGGAGCATCTCCACCATTCACTCCATGCATTCCAAGGTCCCAGACTTCCTCCCTGCAAGGGGCAGGATTGCAGCTAGGCTGATGGGGATTTGAGGGGCCCGGGAACTGCCACAGACTGGATGTTCTCCCATCCCAAATGGCAGTGGGAGATGCTTTTTCTACACCTCCAACCCCACTGGATGGCTTGGGAGCCTCTGGGCAGCAGACTGGCACTCAAAAAAAAGAGGAAAGGACTCAGCGCCAACTGCTCCTGGAGGAGTCATAGCTGCAGCCAGGGGGTGCAGGATGTGCTGAAGGTCTGGCACCTCTACTGCCTGAGAGGTAGGATGGAAAATATGAAGCAGGGTCCACCCTCATGACGATGTCAGTGTTCTGTTTGACAGGAAAGCCAAATGCAAAACTGCTGACTGAGCTCCCACTTCTCTCTCGCTGCAGCTGCCTCCTGCTTTGGTTTTCTGGGCCCTGCTGGCCACAGTACGTCTGTGACAGAGCTGCTGGGGCAAGGAACRGGGCTGCTGCTGGCAAAAAGCCCTGATGGACTGAACCATGCACTGGTATGAGTGAATGTCATGGGAGTTACAGCACTGCCAGGGGAGGCTCCTGGGAACCTTCAGAAGCACCTGGGACCAAAGCAGGCACCATATCCACTATCCTACCCTGAAGAAAGTCACAAGCTATCCCAAATGGATATTTATCCTATATAGTYCCCTCTGGAGGTTTCACATGGAATTTCAAGTCCCCTCAAAGTACAAAGATGTGGCGCCTGGCTTTCCTCACCCTTTCCCCCWGTGCCCACGTTGACTCCTGCAAGGCTGGGCTGGTTTTAGTGGGGTAAGGGAGGAAGAAACCTGCTGACACTGCTGCCAATGTGTGAGGTGCAAGTGACTCTTCTCAGTTTTCACTGAGTTTCACACTGTCCTGGCAAGTCTCTGCTGCCTCCAAAGCCACTCCTCACTGGGGTTTCTCCTCTCTCAAGCAGCTGTCACTTCTTTCCGCTCTGGTTTCTGGCAGGCAGCACAGCCCCGGCATCTCTTTCAAGAGAGAAAGTGGAAGTTTGAAGGCAAAAAGCTGCACTGAGCACCACACTGTGAGCTTTGCYCTGGCTCATGGCAGGCAGACCCCTGGCACAGCAGGGATGCTCGTCCCCACAGGCTGGGTGCATGCCCCGAGACAAGCCTGACTAAGGGATCGGTTTTGGTTTGCAGCTGTGCCAGGCTGACCAGCTCACACAGGGGCAAGGAGAAAACGACCATCAACCTCTCTAAATTCTTAAGTACAGCTTTGGGGAAGAGCAGTTTGCATATCTCACGGAGAGGCCCGGGAACCACAACAGATGCCACCACCTCTCAGCTCTCCCCTGCACTGCGAGAGCCGTTATTTGCCTGCCCACGCACTTGCCATCACGAGTCAACAAACTCCTCGGATGCAAAAGTCTTTATTCACCCCCATGGCCAGATCATGGGCCACTTGGGGAGGGAGGGATACAGGGGTAGATTACCCCTCTTGCAGAGGAGGAAAATGCCTGGAGACAGGCAGAAGACCAGCTGCCTGCYTCCCAGGGATTTCTGAACAGTACAYAAAGCAGCTTCTGCTCCGAGCAAAGAGAAGCATTCAGCCCTGGGCTCCAATGAGCAGCATCTCACAGGATCCACTCCAGCTCTGGCCTCCAGCATTTTCTCCAAGTCTTTGATGTTGGTTCAGACCTGGGGCAGGGAAGCAGCGTGCCCACTCCAGAGAGCATTGAGTGGAGGTAGAAAACTGAGGCACGATGTAAATCACCTGTAGGACAGACCTGYTGGCATCACTGCTCTGCCCCAGCCCATCCTCCCTGCCCTGAGTGAAGAGGAAGCACATGGAGCACAGCAGAATCTTCCTCATCCTGTGGTGCCCACCCCAAGGACACAATAACACTTTGGCCAAGACTGTTCAGCATCAACTCCAGCAGCAGCGTGTCTATTGCTTCAGTCCTGATATGCTGAATTTTTCCCAGAGTGAGGGGAAACACTCTGTGTGTTCAGTGGGGCAGCCTGTTCATGCCCACACCCTGGTGAGGAGGGATCCTGACCCTCAGCAGGGTTGTGATTGCAGCTGTCAAGTCCTCTCATCCAGGCGTTTCTTGCYCCGCTCTGGCGTGACGGGTTTCTGCTCTGGGAAGATGATGGTGGCATATTCGGTCTGCTCAAMCGGCCGCGTCTCAAAGGGCACCGGGGTGCACTGACCCCTCTGAAACTCCAGCTCACCATAGTCCAGAGTGGATATGGACACCATGGGGGGCTTCTCTTCCTTCTGCAAGGTAACCCCATCATGGTGATCCAACATACAGACATACCCACCAGCCCCAGCACAAGCCCCTTCTTATAGAAGTGCCAAAATCAACTCTGAAGTATCCCAGGAGGGTGARAGCAATACAAAACAGAAAAATGCACAGGCCTGCGTTAGAACATGCACAGAGGAGCCACATCATGAGCCCTGGGGTATCAGCTCTCTGCATCTGCCTCTGCAGGCAGGCTGGTCTCTCTCTCTGCCCACCCATGGAAGGCTAGGAGCCCTTCTCCCACCTCTCCATTGGGCTCCAAGTTGGCAGGTGCACATGCAAAGAGCCTAGGGCTGAGTTTGCTTAGCCCAGAGAGGAGAGAGCAAAGGGCAACCTACTCACTGCCCTCAGCTTAATAAATGGGGCTGGAGAGAAGATGGAGACAGATCCCTCCCGGAGGTCCTGGCTAAAGGGAGAAGAAAACAGGCACCAGCTGAAGCAAAATTAATTTTAKCTTGATATATTGGAGGGAAACATCCTCCCATTTTTCTACAGCAACACAATCTACTGTCAAAGATAAGCCTGCTTTGAAGAAGAGTTGGACTAGAGAGTCCCATACTATATGGGGTAGTTTTATTTTGATTTTGTGAAGGGGCTSTGCTGCTGCAGGTACAGAARAGCAGTTGTAGCTGTGCAGAAAAGATCAAACAGCTGCAGAGAAGACAGAAGTGAGATGCTTGTGAAGAGCTGATAAAGGGAGGGSCAGCACCCTCCTCACCCCAGCAATGCCACGGGGCTCTCCTGCAGCACAGCAGGGTGACAGAGGCAGAAAACTCACCGCTGGCATGTTTTCCCTTGGTGGTTTCTGCACATCTGCAAAGTAACACACTTGGTTAGAGGTGGTTCAGCCCCACCSTTGTCCTAGGGAGCACTGGACACCACAACCTTTTCATTACACTTCCTCCTCGTCCACACAGGGTCTAACACCCTGAGCATTACAAGGTCAAGTGAGATACCAGCCCACAGTCTAGRGTCTAATTTGGATTAGTGGAGTGCAGGGGAACCCTCTGTGAGAGACCTTGGGTGTCTGTGGCATGGCTGAGGTGATGCCCTGTGCTGCAGAAGGGTGAGGTGCTCCAAAGGTTCCTGGGCAAGGTGCATGGAAGGGATTCAAGTGGAGCATTAAGGCAGCACCTTAATAACGAGTATAGAGCTACTGCACATGGTCTGGGGGCTCTACAAAGGACAAGCAGGGCTTAAAGCACCCCTCTCCCCCAGGGATGGAGATATCTGTCCCATAGGGATATGCCACAGCTGAGTTTAGCATGTTGAACTAGTCTGTGCCCCAGGTTGCTGCAGACATCTGGCTGACCCCAGGTCCCAGGCTGGGTTTGSGTGGCCTCCAGGGGGATCATACCTCCTCTCCTGTATGTGAAGGTGAGGTAGCCGAAGATCAACAGCACAATCACTCCAGCCAGCAGCAGGATGCCCAGGAGCATGACCTTGATGTGCTCTGAAGAGTTGCCATCCTCTATCTCTGGCTCCTCAGTGGCATTTATCTGGGGGGCTGCTGCAATAGCCATTCAAAAGAAGGGGGAACAAAACAGCAGGTCAGAAGTGCAAAATGGTCTCTCTAGGCCTTGTGAAAGGCAACAGGGGAACATGGGGCTGTGCTCAGAAAGGGCTCAGTCCCAGGCAGGATGTCACAGCCCCATTACCCCTCTAGGGCACAAAGGAGAGGGGACARGGCATGGCTGTGCTCTCCTGACCCATGTCAGATTCTCTGCCAGTAGGTAACTGCCTGCCTTAAGCCCTGGAGCAACAATGGGTTTGGGACCTGTCCCCAACAGCTCAGCCCCCCAGGCTGACCTGTGACCATCAGCTGGGAGCGGCTRCTCTCCATCACTTTATCGGGCTCACAGAAGGTGATCAATCCACAGTAGAAGGAGCCTGAGTCATTCTTGTGGAGGTTCAGGATCTCAATCTCAAAGACAGGAGTGTGGTTGGTGAGTCGGTACTTCTCTGTCTTCGTAATGGAAATGTTTCGGCTGATCTCAGCAATTTTCTGGGCTTGGCTGTGGTTGGTGACCTTGTACCAATTGAGCCTGTACTCTGAGCCAGAGTCRTTCTCCATGGAGATATTGCAGAAGAAGGTGGCTTTGTCACCTTCAGGGAGAGTTAACACTGCTGGGAAGATGGTCACTGTTTGGGAGACAGGAAACAAGAAACAGACATAGTTACAGCAGGCACAGGTCTCAGAAACAACCATACACATGTGTATGAGCCAGGGGTGCAAGTCCAGTCCACAKCATCACTCTGGGACATGGGCAGTACATCAGCCCATGTCTCTCCCAGTCCAAATGTGTGCCTGCTGGCTGGAGAGGGACTCTCAGARGTGATAACTGTACTGCAAAATGGTTTCAGCAGACCAAATTGTGCTCTGGGCTCCCTAAAATGAACACGGAACACCTGTACTGGGGCAAACGACTTTGGGGGCTGTATTATTTCTAAATCTATGCTGTATTTTAATGTCTGAGTCATCCTCCCTCCAGCTGAGGCTGACTCTGAAAGTGGGCAGAGGGACTGAGTCCCAGATCRGGCAGTGCCCTGTGGTGCAGCCCATCACATGCCTGGCTGCCTGCTGGGATGCTCTGACTCTCCCCACTGACCTTGCTGGCAGCTCAGAGCAGGCAGGGGCTGCCCATGGCACAGTATTTGTCATCTCCAACCTGAGACAGAGCACAACAACCTGGAGCTTACAGTRCCATCCCTTCCCAGTGGCCTGTCCYCTCCTAATGGGGACATGGGCAGCCAGGCCCKGGGGTCCCAGCTGGGTTTGCCAGGCTGTTCCCAACACAGAATCCAGCCAGCCACAGCCAGAGATGCCTGTGCTTTRGCACCAGCCCTGCTGCTTCACCTCATTTCCCTGCCCATTATCCCRGTGGGTTTATCCACCCTGCACACTGGGGATGCTGTGAACATAGGCCAGGCACACAAAGTCCTGTCTCAGCCAGTCCCACACAGCAGAACGTGGCAGCTTTGCATTAATTTCTGTTCAGAGCAATGAGAAGTGGGAAGAAGCATTTCTCACATGGGTCACCTCACCAAGCTATTCAAACCACCAAAGCTTTGAAAAGTCCCTGTCACCRGAAATTTACCTTCCCTTTTCAGAAATCAACATGGATAGCAATCCCAGGGCTTACAGGCCCTCAGAAAGTCTCTCCCATCCCTCCAACTCTGGCTTGAGGCCATAGGACCATACCCTCAGCATCACCAAAAAGAAAAGGAGCCCAGAAATTCTGTGAATAGATACAAGATTAGATGGGAAACTGGACTGAGAAATGAGGGATGAGAACAAACAGGAGGAGGGAGGGAGAGAAGTGCCCGGTTCTCGCACGTAGCACTGGCTGTGGYGGTGTCCACACCAAGAGATGGAATTTTTGCCACGTTTTGGATTTCTTGTGTTTAATATGAAATATTTGGCAGGTTCAGCTCCTACTAGTGCTGCTGCCAACAATGAATGAAATGTTCAGARGATTTCTGAAAGCAGATGTTGAGTTTACATGTTTTCCTGTATCTTCCCAGCACCAGAGATRACATCTGCTCCAAGGGGTACCCAGCTCTGTGCCTACCCCTGGGGCAAAAAAATATGCAAACCCACCAAAAAAAAATCTGGGCTGGAATGAAGAAGACRCAGCTTCACCAGGGCTCCCACTCATTCTTCCCAGACTCACACCATCCCCTCAACCTCTCCTTCTCCCCCAAATTTCACCCAGAGCAAGGASCCTGTCTCCTTTAGAGTCAAGTCCAGACTTAGAGTTGTAACCCAAGGGTGCAGACTGAAGCTGTGAGARCCAAAGAGAAAACCCTGGACCCTACATGTCGCTGGTAAACCCAAAAGCTCAACATCAATCCCCATCCACTGTCACTGTCCCACAATACAGCTCTGGTGTCAGCAGTGCAGACTGAGGATCTGTCCTGTTTCCACCCAAAGCATCCCCAAGTCTTTTGCTTCAGCTGCACGTACCCAAAAGCTTCGGGTTTTCTGCCTTCTTGATGCCAGAGCTAAGTTCTAACTACAAAGCTCCCAGCCCTTAGACATTTTCCACCAGCTGCAMACAACACGGGCCATGCCAGAGAGCATGCCACACTCCTGTACCTACCCCGGCGGCAGCAGGTCAGCCTGGGCCCACAGCAGAGCAGGATGGCACAGAGGTAAGCCAGGGCCACCTCCATGCTGCCCCACRTCTTCTTTGAGACACCTGGAGCCATGGTGAGTCAGTCTGTCCCCTGCCCAGACAAGCGTGAGGTGCTGTGCTGTGTGAGCTGTTCTGTCCCCGGCTCTCTCTGTGCTTCCTTCCCTCAGCAGCAGCTTCTTGTCTGTCGTACACAGCAAAGGCTGGGTGGAAATGAAACGTGCCCATGTCTGCCCCAGAGGGAAACCCGGGCTGCCTCCCGCCCCCAGCTTCCTCCCACGGGAGGCAAGGATCAGCTGAGCCAGACCTGCCCCTTTTCTCCTCCCTGCACACTCCTGGCATGTTCCCATGAGGGTACCCAGCTGCCAAGAAATGGGGACAGGTACCTCTGAGCCTGCACCCYTTTTGGGGAAAGCTTACAGGGACAGAAGAGGCAGGGAACACAAGGGACATGTCCTCAGCTCCAAGCCTGACCCATAAGTAAAAGCTGTCGTGGGTTCCCAGTCACCCACAGGTGCTCCCACTGGGACCCCAAGGTAATGGGGGTGTTGTGGGACATTTTGCACTGGGGTCTGAGCAGCCATGGGACACCTATTGGTACGCTGCTC